TATCAATTCTTATTCTATTCTATTCTACTCTACTCTATTATCAATTCTTATTCTATTCTATTCTACTCTACTCTATTATCAATTCTTATTCTATTCTATTCTACTCTACTCTATTATCAATTCTTATTCTATTCTATTCTATTCTACTCTATTATCAATTCTTATTCTATTCTATTCTACTCTATTATCAATTCTTATTCTATTCTATTCTACTCTATTATCAATTCTTATTCTATTCTATTCTATTTTACTCTATTCTATATTATCAATTCTTATTCTATTCTATTCTACTCTACTATCAATTCTTATTCTATTCTATTCTACTCTAATTCTATTCACGACCACAAATTGCGACTGAAATTCCGGTCCTAAGTTGAGACACGCACAATTGACGGCAATTGTGAAGTGAATCTCGCAGTCATAAAGCCAAACCCACTCATCTGAATAGGCATTATTTATTTATTTTTGCCCTTTAAATAACTGATCGTAAATCAAGGACTACCTGTAAAAAGGAAAAAATCTGGCACGAGCTTAAAACAGCCGCCTCACCTTCCCGATGCATGCTAGTTCATGCCTGAACTGGGCCACATATTCTTCATAACACAACTTTTTGTTCTCGTAGATACGCTCCACAACATTGCTGGTCCTTTTCTCTGAAACTGAAAGGGTTGGGTTTCAGACAGTGATCGGGGGTCCTGCTAAGCCTTGCTTTGTTTAATTATTGGATATTAAGAAGCTGGATTTGGGGAAAGGCTGTTTCCTGAACTTCTTAACAGGCACAAAAATAGGAATAAGTGTCGGATTCGAGAGGCAGCTTCGGCTGCCTTAGGCATGGAAGCCAACTGGGTAACGTTGGGCCAGTACCTCGCTCTCAAGCCCAACCCACCGCACAGGATTGCTGTTATGGGGAAAATAGGAGGAGGAAAGGATGTTAGGTACTTTCATTGTCTGGGGTTATTTATAAAAATAATAAAGTCAGGGTAAAAAATAAATCTTTTTTTAAAAATATATTTTTATTTTTTTAAACAAAACAACACATACAAAACAAAGCAAGAGAAGGAAAAAGAACAACTTTCCTCCATTTCATCAAGCATGTTGTTTGGTTACAAGTTTTTGTGCATCAATTCTTAAGCTCAGGATTAAAATCACTGGTTTGCATTAAACATAGCTGAATATTTCGCGGTCATTGAGCATTATGTGTTCAAATTACCATTAATATTCTTTCATTTGTAACAATCCTTACTTTCTTAAACTCATAATTATCTATCAAATAACAACGAGTCTTCACCTATCTCTAAGGAGAAAGAGCAAAGAATCGAACAAAGAATTCCCATTAATTTATAATACCGGTATACATTCATATTTTCAATTGACCATAAAAAATAAACCTTAAAAAACCCATAAGATCCTTCTTCCAGGATCCTAAATGGGGCTTTGCAGTGATATAACTAAATAAGTAAATTTTTAAAAAAACAGAGATTTCAGTTCAACACAAATGGCAAGGCCCACAATTAAAAGTGTTAATAATTTACCTATGACATCGGCAAGACCTCTGACTTCCCGCGCAGCAATGATGCTCTCACTTTCTTTAGCCTTCGCATGTGCCAGAGTGACAGCCTTCCTGTGAGAGAAAAGGAGGGGAAAAACTTTGAAATTGAGCCAAGCCGTTTCTTAGAAAAACAGGCACGCTGCCATTCACAAAGCTTTCCCAGATGGCTTCCCAGAAGCAAAGTCGAAGAGCAGGATTCACTTAACAACCGTTGTGACTTACAGGTATGTCCTCGGTTTACGACCACAACGGAGCCCAATCTTTCTGTCGATAAGCGGGGAAGCTTTGTTTAGGGTAGGGACTTTCGTCCCGGGTGACCATCTTTTCTGGCCACAGTTGCTAAGTGAATCACAAGGTTGTTAAGTGAATCCGTCTTGCTCCTTGACTCTTGTTTGTCCGAAGGTTGCAAAAGGGGATCGTGTGACATCGGGACACTACAACCGTCGTAAATACGAGTCGGTTGCCAAGAGTCCCTAATTTTGATCACGGGACTGTGGGGATGCTTTCATCAGTGTGGAAAACGGTTGTAGGTCGCTTTTTTCATTCCCGCCCTAATTTCAAACAGTCACTAACTGAACTGTTGTATGTCGAGGACTACTTGTACTTGACCATTGCAGAGATTCACTTAACAACCGTGGCAAAAGGGTCGTAAAATGGGTTGTGATTCATTTTGCTTAGCAGGTTGACCTCCTCTTCTTTGGGGCAGCCCCTCAAACATTGGAAGACTGCTATCCTGTCTCCCCTGGTCCTTCTTTTCATTATACTAGACATATCCAATTCCTGCAACTGTTCTTTGTAGGTTTTAGCCTCCGGCCCCCTCATCCTCTTTGTTGTTCTTCTCTGCACTCTTTCTAGAGTCTCCACATCAGAGGTGGGTTCCTACCAGTTCGCATCTATTCGGTAGAACCGGTTCGTCAAATCTACCGAACTGGTTAGAAGAGGTTCCATCAGTGGACCTGGAAAGCAGGCCACACCTACAGAAGAGGTTCCAAAANCCGGCCCTGTGGAACGATCTACCGGCAGAGATCCGGACCCTTACCACTCTCCCGGCCTTCTGTAAAGCCACCAAGACCTGGCTGTTCCGGCAGGCCTGGGGCTGTTGATTAATATCCGGCCCCACTTGACTGTATGGATGATGTATTAATTTTAAATATTGTATTTTTTTCTTAAATTTTTAAATGCTTTTATTTTGCTGTGAGCCGCCCAGAATCCCAATGGGAGTGGGCGGCATACAAATTTTATTAAAGTAAAGTAAAGACGGGAAGCATATCAATTTAATCCATAAATAATAAAATTAAAAACTAAAATTAAATTAGTGGGGAAAACTCGAAAGGTGACTCTTCCACATTCCAGGATAAAGCAAGGAGGCCAACTGGTGTATCAGAAATCATACCAAACTTCCTTTTCAGCGGTTCACGGAGTTCCTGGGCGCAAATTTTCTTCGCCAGAGTCTGCAAGTAAAAGTCCGCGGCAGCTAAGTTGGCCATTTTGAAGTGATGCCCAACCAAGATCAAACCAGATCTTCTCCAGAAGAAAAAGGCCTCTGAAATGATGAGGGTTTCATGTGACCGTTCAGCCCGTCATCTGTTTGGCCACCGCGATGAAATCCTGTCCAAAGAAACAACACCGATGAACAATGGGCAAAAAAGTTTTATTGTGAAGCCATGAAGCTGGCCTTCATGCTTTTTAAAATGCAGAGGGAAGATACAGCCGATAAATATTTTAAAGACTTAAATGTCAAGTTAGATTAACGTTAATATCTATCATTAGATGTTTCATCTTGTCGTTTTCATCATCTATGCTGCCTAGAATCGCTTGATGGAAAGTAAGTAAAAGAAAGAGGAAGGAAGGAGGAAAGAAAGGAGGGAGGAAGGAGGGAGGGAGGGAGGGGAGGAAAGAAAGGAGGAAGGGAAGGAGGAAGGGAGGGAGGAGGAAAGGAAGGAGAGAAGGAAGGAAGGAGGAAAGAAAGAAGGGAGAAAGGGAAGGGAGGAGGAAAGAAAGGAGGAAGCAGGAAAGGAGGGAAGGAAGGAGGGAAGGTAGGAAGGAGGAAAGAAAGAAGGAAGGAGGGAGGGATGGAGCGAGGAAAGGAAGGAAGGAAAGAAAGGAGGAAGGAAGGAAGAGGGAAGGAGGAAGGGGAGAGGGAGGGAAGGAAGGAGGAAGGAAGGAGGAAAGAAAGGAGGAAGGAGAGAGGAAAGGAAGGAGGGAAGGTAGGAAGGAGGAAAGAAAGGAGGAGGGAGGGATGGAGAGGAAAGAAAGGAAGGAAAGAAAGGAGGAAGGAAGGAAGGAGAGAGAGGGAAGAAGGGCAAGGTTGATAGATTAGTTAGTAAGCCAAACCCCCACATTTCCGGAGCAGGGAGGCTTCGGGGGCTGGGGAGAGAAATCCATCACCTGGTGGGGGCGTAGCGGGGTATCCAGAGCGGGCTGAGGATCGAGGACTCAAAAGAAGCGCACAAGGGAAGCCCCGTGCGCAAAGCAGGGCACACTCCAGCGGCTTTTGCCCCCACGTGGCTGGAGAGGTAGGCTTTGCCAATCGATCCACCCGATCCTCTTTTGCAAACCAGCTCGGGGCTCGATTCCTGCAGCCTGGGAAGGTTATGGGATGGCGGAAGGGGTGGGCCCAAGGCAGGGGAGAGGCGGAGCAAAAGGGAAAGCAGGGGAGGGGCGAAGAGGTGGGAGAGGGAGCTTTTGCGCACGTGGTTTTGCTGCTGGCTGGTGCGCCGAAGCAGCGCTGGTCCGCATCTCGTGCGCGCGCTTCCCCCGGATCGCAACTGAGCGGCTTTCTTTGCAATCCAGAGGATCGAGCTAAGCAGAGTCCTGACCTGAACCATTTCCCCATCCTGCTTGGTCGTCATGTTGGAACGTTTTAACTTAAACAGCCCAGTCCTGCCCCAAAGACAAATTCCTTGTGTGTCCAATCACACTTGGCCAATAAACTATTCTATTATTCTACTCTACTCCATTTCATTTTTCTATTCTATTCCTTATTCTACGCTATTCATTATTCTACTCCTTATTGTACTCTACTCCATTCCATTTTTCTATTGTATTCCTATTCTATTCTTTATTCTATTCTACTCCATTCCATTATTCTATTCTACTCCATTCCATTATTCTATTCATACCATTATTCTATTCTATTTTATTCCTTACTCTATTCTACTCCTTTCCATTTTTCTATTCTATTCCTATTCTATTCCATTCCATTTTCTATTCTATTCCTTACTCTATTCTACTCCATTCCATTTTTCTATTCCTATTCTATTCTACTCCATTCCATTTTTCTATTCTATTCCTTACTCTATTCTACTCTATTCCATTTTCTATTCTATNACTTGAAGATGTCTGGACTTCAACTCCCAGAATTCCCCAGCCAGCATTCGCTGGCTGGGGAATTCTGGGAGTTGAAGTCCGGACATCTTCAAGTGGCCAAGGTTGAGAAACACTGCTCTAGGCAGCTCAGAACCATGAACCAAAACAAAGACGTAAGAAGGAAATTTAAACAACATAAAAATAATAAAAACAGACAAGAAAAAAGGAAAACAATGAAAATACATTGATAGTAAAATGACAGGCCACTTTTGATTAAAGATTAAAAAATTGACTATTGTTCTTTCTAAATGGGGGGCATTTTGCTTGATAAAGATAAAAATGATTCTGGGATTTGATTATTAGATTTGTTACGTCTACAGAAATACTGGGTGACATTGGAGTTTTATATGTTTATGTCTTTATTTGCTTAAATTCAAAAGGAGATGATTACAGATATTTCATTGTAGAAGTATCTAGTACTGTTAGTGTGCATTTGTAGAATTCTAATTATGCATTTATGGGTTATGTTTTATTTAGAGTAAGAGGCTGGGATATAATATATTGGTGTTATTAGTTGATTCTTAGGCATGAACATTTTTAATGTTAGGTTTGCATCAGTGCATACAAGAGATGATTGGAACTGTACTAAATGTTCTTTTGTGTGTGCATATCACTGTTTAAACTTTTTCTATTGCCCCCTCTCTATTTTTCATTTTTCGTCATAATTTTGTCTATTTTTGAAATTTAATTCTAAAAGGAAGGAAGGAAGAAAGGAGGGAGGGGGAGGGAAGGCAGGGAGGGAGGAGTCGGAAGAAAGTTAGAAAGGCAAGTAGGAGAATAGAAAGAAATAAGGTGGAGGGAGGGTGGGAAGGAGGAAGGAAAAACATGAGAAAAGAGAAGGAAGCAAGGGAGGATGGGAAGAAGAAATAAAAGGAAGAAATAAATATACAGAATAAAAGGAAGGAAGAGAGGGCTAGGAAGAAAATCAGGTAGGCAGGCAGAATAGAGAGAAAGAAAGGAGGTGAAAGGGGGGAAGGAGGAAAAGGTTAGGAAGAAAGGCAGGAAGGAGAATAGAAAGAAGATGGAGGGAGGAAGAAAGGAAGGATGAGAAAGAAGCAAGTTAGGGTAGGAAGAAGGAATAAAAGAAAGGAAGAAAGAAATGTACAGAATAAAAGAAAGGAAGAGAGGGCTAGGAAAAACGGTAGGCAGGAAAATGGAAAGAAAGAAGGTGGAGAGGGGCAAGGAGGAAAGAAGAAAGAGGGAGGAAGAAAGGCAGGGAGGAGAACAGAGAGAAAGAAAGACGGTGGATGGAGGGAAGGAGGAAGAATGGAAGGAAAAGGATGAGAAAAAGCAAGGGAGGGTAGGAAGAAATAAAAGAAAGGAAGAAATAAATGTACAGAATAAAAGAAAGGGAGAGGAGATGTTGAAAGGCAGGCAGACAAATAGAAGGAAGCAGGAAAGGAGGGAAGGAAGGAGGAAAGAAAGGAGGAAGGAGAGAGGAAAGGAAGGGGGAGGGAGGGAGGAAAAAAAGAAAGGGCGAAGAAGGAAGGAAGGAAGGGGATGAAGAAAAGGGAGGAAGAAAAGGGAGGGAGGGAGGGAGGGAAGAAGGGTGAGAAGGAGAGAGGAAAGAAGGGTGAAAGGAAGAAAGGGAGGGGAGGAACAAACGGAGGGAAGGAGGGAGGAAAGGAGGAAGGAAGGAAGGAAGGAAAAAGAAGGGAGGGAGGAATTCCAGCTAAAGTGTGCAGTTCAACTGCATAAAAAAGGCGGGGGGGGGCTGAAGCTGAGGTTTTGGCGGGAGGGAGGACCCTTCCCTTCCTGCCTTCCCGGGCTCTCTTGGCACCTCGTCGTCGAAGATCTGCCTGTAGACCTTCCCGCTGGGCAGGACCCGGGCAACCCCCACCGTGGAGGTGATGGGGAGCACGTGGGAACTCTTGCTGGATTTGCACATGGCGGGGCGCCTCCCGGGTTAGGCTACAGAAAGAACGAAAGAAAGCAAACGGCGGTTAAGGAAGGAGGGACATTGAAGTATATTCCCCCCCCCCAATCTCTCTCTCTCTCTCTCTTCCCTCCGCCAACCCGGCCCGCCATCCACACGGCCACCTCCAACACGAGTCTCCGGTTGCCATGGTAACCCCGGGCGCCGGGACGAAGCGCGGCCTTCGTCTCGCGAGAACCTGCGGGAATCCCGAGCCGGCTTCCTGGTCCTCGAGCAAACCGTTGCCTGGAGACGCCCCGCGGTTGCTAGGGGAGACGGGAAAAAAGCGAGGGGATGCTCCTGTACTCTTGCTTAGGTCCTTTCCCGGGGGTGGGGTGGATCAATTAATGGGCAGGGATAAATAAATAAACAAACAAACAAATAAATAAATTTTATTGGTCGTCTATCTTCCTGCAGGGTAATCATCGTCTTCCCCCTCCCTTGAACAGAATGGGTTGGGCATCACTAAAAATATACCCCCCAAAATATGCATTTCGCCCATTTTGGATCACGTATGATGGGGCTGACAAGAGATTATTCTCCAGACTAAGGTGGGGTGGGTGGACTGATTCCAAGCTTGCCAGAGCTCCTGCTTTTAATTTTTTTTATTACAAATATAAAAGTTCCCCTCGCACATGTGTGCTAGTCGATCCTGACTCTAGGGGGCGCTGCTCATCTCTGTTTCAAAGCCAAAGAGCCAGCGCTGTCCAAAGATGTCTCCGTGGTCATGTGGCTGGCATGACTCAATGCCTAAGGCGCACGGAACGCTGTTCCCTTCCCACCAAATGTGTTTCCTATTTTTCTACTTGCGTTTACGTGCTTTCGAACTGCTAGGTTGGCAGAAGCTGGGACAAGTCACAGGAGCTCACTCCATTACGCAGCACTAGGGATTCAAACCACCAAACTTTCAAATCGAGATGTTCAGTGTCTTAGTCATTGAGCCACCGTGTCCCGTTACAAATATAAAATCTGCCTAATCAGAGCTCAATGCAAAAGACATATGCGTGCTCACTGACCAGCCTTGACATAAAAATCTTTTGAATTTAAAGACACTTTACTTCGCCAAATCAAACCTTGGATAGAGTTGCGTGTGTTTCAGTGCGCATTACTGAAAATGGGATAGAGTGAGCTTTATTCAACTCAAGTGTATACTGCAGCTGGCAAAAAAGCCAACACAGTTCTAGGCTGCATTAGAATCAAGATCACGTCAAGTGTTAATACCACTTTATAATGCCTTGATAAGAACATACTTGGAAGATTGCATCCAGTTTTGGTTGCCACAATATGAAAAGATGTTGGAAAAGAGTGCAGAGAAGGACAATGCAATGATTGGGGAGCTGGAGGCTAAAACAGATGAAGAACGGAAGCAGGAATTGAATATGTCTAGTATTGTGAAAAGGACTAGGGGTAGCAATGTTCCAATATTTGAAGGGTTGCCACAAAGAAAGGGGGTCTAATCGAGAGATTCAACCTAGAACTAAGGTGAAATTTCCTGACAGTCAGAATAATTAACCAGTGAAACAGCTTGCTTTCAGAAGTTCTGAGTACTCCACCACTGGAGGATTTTAAGATATTGGATAGGATATTGTAAGGTCTCCTGCTTGAGCACGGGTTTGGACTAGAAGATCTCCAAGGTCCCTTCCAACTCTGTTATTGTTTTTGTCCCGAGGAATGCATACCCCATATTTCCAGGAAAAGATTCATCCCCAAGCCAGTTCCTGACAAAATCTGCATTCTGTAATATGTTTAACCAGGCCAATTAAAATCTAGGAACTTATAAAACTCAATGTTCATTTTTGTTTACTTTTCAACACGCTGGACAAATCTTGGGTTGGTTTACAGTAAATCAATTGGGTTGGTTTACAGTTCCAAATACCAAATAATACACCAAATCAAAGCAACAGGTTAAATCACCAAGCAAGCTAAGAATGCAGACCAGGATAGAATGTTTAATGATTCCTTCCTTGCTTCAATGCATTTCTCAGATTTAAGAGGATAAATGTCATCTTTTCACCCAATGATTCTACGTAACAGGATTTCAAATCTCACTCCCTAAAACAGGAAAGGATAATTTGATAACAGCTGGAAAGCGTGACCCGTCAAAACCACGGTCCACTAAAGCGCGCCCGATTAAAGCGCGTACGTGACGTCATCAGCAGCGCGACAAATACAACCGTGGAGAAAAAAGGCCGCTTTAAAAAGCGCTTTTAAAGCAAGCCGATTCACATAAAGGTAAGGGTTAGGTTTAGGGTTAGATTCGAACAACAAACTACAAAAACCTATAATGCATGTCCTGAGTTGGGAAAGCTAAAAAACC